CTTAAAGAGAAGAGGTAAAGGAGGGGTTAAGGAGTCAGCACGGTACCCCTGTGCTGCTCTGACCCTCCCAGGTCTGCATCAGACAGGCTACTGAGCTGTGAGTCCAGCAACCAAGTGGGTGACAAGAGTGGCCTGCTTGCTGCCCCAGTCCTCACACACACCTAGACAGAGTTTGTCTCCCCCGACACCCCATGCTGGGACTGAGGTGTCATCTGAAATGTGGAGAAGTGCAGGATGCCCCTTGTGAGCTTTCTGAGAGAAACAGACTGGCCAGAGGTGGGAATGGGCAGAGCTTCCTACAAGGCTGCGGTTACTGTCACTCCTCTGGGGTGGACACATCCTCAATCAATGGTGGTTTTGGAAGCCTGCGAGGTTTTTGACCAGAGACAGGCAGTATCAAAGGAGACAGGCACATTCAGCAGCAGGCCTGGGGACAGTTTCTGAGGATAGGGACAAACAACAAAGCTGACAGTGATGACACTCCCAATGAGTCAATCTCAGCACAACAGGTGAACCCTGGCCAGGCTTGCAGCTGTTTGGCACCTCAACTGTTCTCGTCTAGGAAATGGGATGAAAAATATGCTTTAGTGTTCTATGATGAGGGTCAGGTGCATTGATGAAAGTACTGTACAAAAGCCACGGAATAAGTTGCACAAGCATAACTAAGCTCCAGTTCTACAGATCCAGTTTCAGTGACAATACCATATGCAGATTCTTTTTTTGTTTTTAAATTAATTTTTATTGGAAAGGCAGATATACAGAGAGGAGGAGAGATAAAGACCAAGATCTTCCATATGATGGTTCACTCCCCAAGCGGCCGCAATGGCTGGAGCTGAGCCAATCTGAGGCCAGGAGCCAGGAGCTCTTCCGGGTCTCCCACGCGGGTGCAGGGTCCCAAGGCTTTGGGCTGTCCTCAACTGCTTTCCCAGGCCACAACAGGAAGCTGGATGGGGAAGCAGGGCCACTGGGATTAGAACCGGCGCCCATATGGGATCCTGGCGCATGCAAGGCAAGGACTTTAACCACCATGCTATCCCTCTGGGCCCATATGTAGATTCTTAAATGTCTGATCTCAAGTAATTCAGCTAGCAATGAAAATGATTCTTATGGGCCCAGCACGGGTAGCCTAGCGGCTAAAGTCCTCACCTTGCACGTGCCAGGATCCCATATGGGCACCAGTTTTAATCCTGGTGGCCCCACTTCCCATTCAACTCCCTGCTTGTGGCCTGAGAAAGCAGCAGATGACAGCCCAAAGCCTTGGGACCCTGCACCCACATGGGAGATCCAGAAGAAGCTCTGGGCTCCTGGTTTTGGATTGGCTCAGCTCCGGTCATTGTGGCTGCTTGGGGAGTGAATTAACGAAAGATCTTCCTCTGTCTCTCCTCTCTGTATATCTGACTTTCCACTAATAAAAACAAATCTTTTAAAAAAAGGGCAAAATGGGCCCGGCGCGGTGGCGCAAGTGGTTAAAGGTCCTCGCCTTGCATGCCCGGGATCCCATATGGGCGCCGGTTCTAAGGTTCTAATCCCGGCAGCCCTGCTTCCCTTCCAGCTCCCTGCTTGTGGCCTGGGAAAGCAGTCGAGGATGGCCCAAAGCTTTGGGACCCTGCAGCCGCGTGGGAGACCAGGAAAAGTCTCCTGGCTTCGGATCGGCATAGTATCGGCCCGTTGCGCTCACTTGGGGAGTGAATCATCGGACGGAAGATCTTCCTCTCTGTATCTCCTCTCTGTATATCCGCCTTTCCAATAAAATAATAATAATAAAAAAAAAATCTTAAAAAAAAAAAAAGAAAATGAGTGGACAGAGTGCTTAGAAGGAACACCTGCCACTCTCCTTGAAAAAAAAAAAATAGGGCAAATGATACTTACTAGAAAACTAACCTAACCTAGGTGACTCAACAAAGATGCTATCTCAAAATGCTCAAGAAAATGTGGCAATATCGCTTCATTATTGGAATGTACTGGCAAAACAATATAAGTTATTCTATGTGTGTGATGTAAAAAGTGTATGTTTACGGGCCCGGCGGCGTGGTCTAGTGGCTAAAGTCCTCGCCTTGAATGCCCCAGGATCCCATATGGGCGCGGTTCTAATCCCAGCAGCTCCACTTCCTATCCAGCTCCCTGCTTGTGGCCTGGGAAAGCAGTCGAGGACAGCCCATAGCTTTGGGACCCTGCACCCCTATGGGATGCCTGGAAGAAGTTCCTGGATCCTGGCTTTGGATCGGTATAGCATCGGCCGTTGCGTTCACTTTGGGAGTGAATCTTCGGATGGAAGATCTTTCTCTCTGTCTCTCCTCCTCTCTGTATATCTGACTTTGTGATAAAAATAAATAAATCTTTTTTAAAAAAAAGTGTATGTTTAACTTAACATTACAAGGAACCATGAACCTATTTCATTTGTGTTCTCAACATATGTTCTGTACTACAAAGATAACACACACACACCCTTTTCTCTGGAATACAGGTGGTTGCCTGTTCAGGGTTGTCACACATCTGGGTACATTTCTGAGTTTCTAGTATGGGCTTAGCCCTGGTTGGGGGTAAGGTCCCTGTTTTCCCACAGCTCTCAGTTTCTTGGGACGAGAGGTGCCTGGGTATGATGGGTTGAGTGGGTAGCAGGGCAAAGCCTCTGGCAAGGGTGTGGAGAGGGCTTCTCCAGGGAGGGCAGGTCTGAGTGGAACCGAGAAGCAGTGCTAGGGGAGGAATGGTGTCCTCACCAAAGGGAAAAAATAATCTATGTTCAAGTCCCTAAGGCATCTCTGAATGTGATGATTCAGAAAGAAAACCTTTGTGGAGCTTATCAAGATGATGAGATGCGGCCTCCAGGGCAGGGTAGGATATACCTTAACTTGACTAGCGCCCTCGGAGGCAGGGGAGATGTACTCACTCACTCTCTCTCTCTCTCTCTCTCTCTCTCTCACACACACACCCACACACACACACACAGGGGTGGGGCAGGGAGGCCATGTGAACTTAACGGCAGAGGTCAGGGAGCCCCAAAGACTAATGGGCCAGCAGAGGCCTGTCGGACAGGTCCCTCAGGAGGAGCCGCCCCACCCACATGCTGATCCAGGGCTTCCTGCCATTTGGGGCCCCTGTTCCTGTAGCCTTGCTGGGTGCTCGCTATCACAGCACATGCACAGGAACTGGAACCAAAGAGAGATGAGTCTGGCTCCCGCTCAAGGATGATGCGCCAGCTCATGAGTGTTCTGTATTTTTATCACACTGTGCCCTCTTAATACATAGCTATTACCTGTCAGTTACGATGAAGGCCGGCAGGAGGCAGCGGGGAGCAGGTGGGGAGTTCCAGGCATACACACAGGGGGAGGGGCTGCCAGAGGGGGTATGTGCTGGGGACTGTACAGTGGCCTCCAGGCGTTCCACAGGCCTGACTCTCCAACCACACCAAAACGTGGAGGCCCAACAGTATCTACATCCTGTGGCTGTGATGAGAATCAAACTAGATACATGGCTTCCTGTGTTCACTGAGTACCCAACAGTGTACCAGGCAATCCGAACACCTTATAACCAAGACAGCAGCACCTGCTTTCTCATGGGGGGGGGGGGGGGCGGGCGGAGTCAGAGTCAAGTGACACAGTGATGGCAGTGGCTCCTAAGGTGGGGAAGGCCAGTCCGCAAAGGCAGCGTTACAGAACCCATGCATACTCTGGGCACTAGAGAGAGACCCTGAGTGGAGGCTGAGGAGCAGTGTAAAGAGGGGAGAGTGGGTAAAAGATGAGGCCAGGTGTAGGCATGAGTCTGGACAAAGCCTGGGCTTCCGTGCGTGGGACAGTATGCGTGCTCAGCAGACACGAGTGGCCACTGTTCATCATGGGAGCAGTGGGGAGTCTGACTAGAATCTAGTTTGTGGGCTCCCCCAGTGAGGTGTGGAACTGGATGCTCAGTGGGAGTGCCACCTGCTCATCACCAACTCTCCAGGGACCCTGCACTGTCTCCAATGCCACATGCTCGTTCTGAGTTGTAGGTCACCCACAAGCTTGAATGAACCCATCTGGATCATGAACACACACAACGACCAAGCTGGAGGAGGGCAGAGCCCCTCAGCCGACAAAGCAGGAGTCCTGGATCAGGCTCCTGGGCTGTGATCCAGGCTCCTGCGTTGTGATCCAGGCTCCATCCCTCAACAGCAAGGGGACTGTGGGCCTTGGCAGTCTCACTGTGAACACAGAGAGGAACAGACCACCCCAAGGTGTGAGGATCCAGTGAGTGAATTCACACTTGAGACCTGAGAATTGAGCCTGTCAAATACACAAGACGACTTCTCGAGGCTGACCTGCTTCGGATTTCAAGGCACAACATCACCTACACCCTCCTTCTCTCCTACCACACAGAGCTCTCCATCTCTCACCTCAGCTGATCTACCCATGCAGCCTCTTTCCCTCCTGAGCTCTGCCATGTGGGCCCTGGCCCTTTCTCCCACTGGGACGGCAACAGTGACAACAGCTCCATCCAGGCTGTCCTCCACATGCAGCCACAGGGACCCTGTGGATTCCTAGTCTGGATTACACTTGTCCTCTGGTTCACAGCATTTGTGGCACCATTTCACTTTGAGAAGATGAATGTCCATGTTCTTACTGGCAGCTTACAAGCTCTATTCTGTCCCGGTCACCACCTGGGCCTCCTTATTGCCCCCCACCTGACCTTGCTTGCATCGTCCCAGCCGCACCGGCCTTCCTCCCGCAGGCCAAGTCTCTGCAGCTGCTATGCCCTCTGTCTCAAGAAACTCTTCACCTGACACCACATCATGGTGAGCAGCAACTGATCTTTAGTGAGCTTCTCTAATTCATTCCCCCAGGAAAGGGAGTGGGCTGCTGGCTGCCTTGTGCAGGGCAGCTTCCCTAAAACAGAGCATCAGCTTTTCCAGCACTGTGGGAGGAACTGCCTGCCCTCTTCTTGTCCCGGTGGACCTGGCCAGGCAGGGGTGTGAGGCACGCCAGGTTGGTGCTGGCAGGTGTCTCATGGGACACTCAAGTACTTACTTCTTTGGGTCAACAAAGGGGAGTGGCCGCGGTGAGGGCTCGTCATTTCTCTTCCATCCTGCTGGGTGCTTATTGCGCACAGGTTGTTGCTTGGAGAAGAAGGACTTGGGGACCGAGGTGGAGAGCTGGAAGGGGCTGGACTGGGTCAGCTGGGAGGGCCGAGGAGTCTCTGCACTGGCTGTTTTGTAAACCTGAGCTGGGTAGCCAGCCCTTGAGCCCACGTCACTGCCAAGAAGCCAAAGAAATATAGTTAAGGGATGTACAAACATGCAAATGCAGAAGCATACCTGTAAGAAAAGGAAAAGTTGCCGGCATAGCCCCAGCCGCACCCCAGAAATGCCCTTCTGGTATGTCGGCTTCCTCTGGGGGAGGGTCTGAAGCGCTGTCTGCAACCCGGCCACCCCCATCTCTTTGGCATAACTTCCACAGCAGGAAAGTGTGGGCCCACCCGCCTGCCTGAGTAGCCCTGGACTGGAGGTAACCATGAAACGGGTTGTTGTTTTCTAGGCATCAGGGACACGTGCACACCACTAGACTGGGGACCTTTGTGCGAAAATCGCTGTTTTTACTTAAGTGGCTTCACATGAACACACACTTCGGCAACTTTTTGTTTTCTCTAGTGTAAAATGTATCTTGCCAAGCATAGCATGTTCAGTTACACGCTTCCTGAACATTAGACATCATTCCAGTGGATGCAGTGTAAATCCACCACTGGATGTTCCAAATGCCAGCTGCTTGTTGGATTAAGGCACCACTGAGCCCAGCTCTGTACGCGAGACCCAGGCCTCCCTCGTGAACTCAGCTGCTTACTTTGCTGTGGCCAATCGGCTCCTGAAACATTTTAATGCAATTCCAAACCTTGCTGGAGCCAGGGGTATTCCTGAGCAAGGTCAGGACATCTTTCATGAGGGTTAATGCAGTAAAGCCCAAAGACGGGACTTGCGGCCGACTGAAGCCACGAGCCAATCTCTCTCCGAGAAAGGACAGAAAACAGACCTCTCCACGCTGAAAGCGGACTGCAGCCACTGAGGGATCAGAGAAGCAAGGAAACACCACTGAGCTTGGGGTGAGGATAGACAATCTGCGGCGCTCAGCACCCAGCTTCTCTGCTTGCTCTCAGCTTCCTCTGACCCAAATAAACAAAGAAGCTCTTTCAAAGCAGGAACACCAAGGTGCACACCGCACTTTTTTTTTTTTTTTTTAAAGACTCAGTTATTTAAAAGGCAGAGAATCTTCCATTTGCTGGTTCGCTTCCCAAACGGTTGCAATGACTATAGCTGGGAAGATCCAAAGCCAGGAACTTCTTCCAGGTCCTACACGAGGGTGCAGGAGCCCAAGGATTTAGGCCAACTTCTGCTGATATCCCAGCTGCACTTCCAGGAAACTGGATCAGAACTGCAGCAGTCGGGACTGGACTGCATGAGATGCCAGTGCTCCAGGCAGCAGCTCAACGTGCAATACCACAAGGCCGGCCCCACATGCGTTTTCTAAGGAGAAATCCTGGGCTGATGTTGTGGTCTAGCGGTTTAGATTGCTGCTTGTGATGCTGCACTTCCTGCTAACGTACACAGAAGGCAGAAGATGGTCCAAGCCTTTGGGCTCTGGCATACATACAGGAGACCCGGATGGAGTTCCAGACTCCGGCTTTGATCTGCTGAGACTCAGCATTGTGGCAATTTGGGGAGTGAACTAGTGACGCAAGATCTGTCTGTCGTCTGTCTCCCTCTCTCTTTTTGGAACTCTGGCTTTCACACAAACAAATGTTTAACAAATAATGAGGTTTTTTTTTTTGTTTTTTTTTTTAAGGGGAGAGGACAGAGTGGCAGAAAAATGATTGGAATAAATGGCTAACGACATTCTAAATTTGGTGAAAATCATTACTCTACATATCTTAAGAAGCTCAACAGACCCAAAGTTAGATAAATACAGCAAAGAGACATGTCTAGAAAAACAGCTGGTGTGATGGCTCAACTGGTTAATTCTCCAAGCACCAGACTCCCATATGGGCACTGGCTTGTGTCCTGGCTGCTCCACTTCCCTTCCAGCTCCCTGCTTGTGGCCTGGGAAAGCAGCAGAGCACGGCCCAAAGCCTGGGGAACCTGCACCCACATAGGAGACTCAGAACAAACTCCTGATTTCAGATCGGCTCAGCTCTAGTCGCTGCCACCACGTGGGTAGTCAACCAGTGGATGGAAGATCTTTCTGTTTCTCCTTGTCTCTATGAAATCTGTCTTTACAACAAAAAAGCATTAATCTTTTAAATAAAGAGAAACAGCTCAAAGTCAAATGCTGGGAAACAATCTTGAGAGCATCCAGAGAAGGAACATTCCTCACACACTGGGGAGCTTCAGAACAACCGATAACGGACTTCTCACTGGACACAGGGAAGGGCACTGGATAGAAAAAAAGTTGCTAACAAAGAATTCTACCTCCAGCAATATTATTTTTCAAAAACGAAAGAAACACAAAGATGTGCCTAGACAGACGAAGGCTGACAATTCTGCCAGCACGTTAACTTGATACTGAGTAATAATGAAGGAAGTCTTCAGCTCAGAGAGATGATGGCTAGATGGCAATCTGAATCCACAGGGAGCAACGGAGTACAAGACAGCAAATCTGCCAGGTAAAATAAAAGATGTGGGGGCTGGCACGTTGGCTCAACTGGCTAATCCTCTAGTACCACGCGCAGTATCCCATATGGGCACCAGTTTGAGTCCTGGCTGCTTCTCTTGTCATCCAGCTCCCTGTTTGTGGCCTGGGAAAGCAGTCAAGGACGGCCCAAGGCCTTGGGACCCTGCACCCGTGTGGGAGACCTGGAAAAAACCTGGCTCCAGGTCGGCTCAGCTCTGGCTATTGTGCCTTCTGGGGAGTGAAACAGTGGCTGGAATATTGTAGGAGGACACTGTGACTCTAGGTCAGGGAGCACAGGATTACAAACGATTGGGTAACATTTGTATGAGAACAACTGGATGGATGCCATTTGTATAACTGATTGGACATCATTTGTATGAGAACAGCTGAGTGGACAGCATGTGAATGAGAACACTTGGTGGGATACACAAAACAAAAAGAGTTCCAAACAAGGGTATAGAAACAATTGATGGGTTCTGTTGATAGGCACACTAATAAACTTTGGCTATTGACCACCAGTCAGAAGACCACATGTGTTATCGTCTCTGTGCACCAAGTTGTTTGCTGCAGGACAGCAACAGAATATCTGTCTGTCCCTGCCTCTCCCTCTCTTTCAAAAAAATTTTTTTAATAATAAAAAAAAGAATTATAAATTTGTTTTATTATGTGCCTTAAAACTTAAAGATTGGGCCTGGTGCAGTGGCCTCGCCTTGAATGCCCCAGGATCCCATACGGGCGCCGGTTCTAATCTCAGCAGCTCCACTTCCCATCTAGCTCCCTGTTTGTGGCCTGGGAAAGCAGTCAAGGACAGCCAAAAGCCTTGGGACCCTGCACCCGTGTGGGAGACCCGGAAAGAAGCTCCTGGCTCCTGGGTCCAGATCAGCGCAGCTCTGGCCATTGCGGCTACTTGGGGAGTGAATCATCAGACGGAAGATCTTCCTGTCTCTTCTCCTCTCTGTACATCTGCCTTTCCAATAAAATTAATAAATCTTAAAAAAAAAAAAAGAGGGAAGCGAATGAGGCTATATTGGAGAAAAGTTTCTACATTTTATTAAGTTGACATTAACCTGAATTGCCTAGATATATGTGTACTAATAACAACAAAAGCAGGAACAGCATCCAAAGTGTGTGTGTGTGTGTGTGTGTGTGTGTGTGTGTGTGTGTGTGTAGGCAGGGAGCTGGATGGGAAGTGGAGCAGCTGCGATATGAACTGGCGTCCACATGGGGTCCTGGTGCATTCAAGGTGGACACTTTAGCCATTAGGCTACCACACTGGGCTCATAAATTACTTAACACAGGATAAGGCATAATGGAAGAACAGAGAGCAAGAAAGACATACAGAAAACAATGAGCCACAAAACGGCAAATGTAAATCCAAACATCAATAACCACACTAAAAACGAATGTTTTACATATGTCTATCACAAGGAAGACATTATCAGACTAGGTTAAAAAAGCAATTATGCAGGCTTTCTACAATTTGGCAACACTTATTAATGGGGCAAAGGTTATGCATTAATGGGGAGATGTTCAAGGAAGCTGTTAAGATGTAAAACATTAGAAACGGGCTTTATAATACTGAGAGGGGTCAGAAAGGTTCTGCTATGGAGGCTGTGCCATTTGGCCAATGAATGGCACTCAATATTGGTTTCTCAGGGGCCCGGAGCAGTAGCTTAGCGGCTGAAGTCCTCACCTTGCATGCACGGGGATCCCATATGGACACTGGTTCTAACCTCGGTGACCCCACTTCCCATCCAGCTCCCTGCCTGTGGCCTGGGAAAGCAGTCGAGGACGGCCCAAAGCCTCGGGACCCTGCACCCGTGTGGGAGACCCGGAAGAGGCTCGTGGCGTCAGATCGGCTCAGCTCTGACTGGTGCGGCCATTTGGGGAGAGAATCAACAGATGAAGATCTTCCTCTCTGTCTTTCCTCCTCTCTCTGTATATCTGACTTTGCAATAAAAATAAATCTTTAAAAAAAATTGAGTGGTTTCTCAGAAATCCATGACAGAGAAAAGCCTACCTTGGTACCTAAGCATAGGTAAGGATGGTCACTAAAACACCCATTCACACCAAGAGTTGTATGTGGGGCCCAGCGCAGTAGTCTAGTGGCTAAAGTTCTCATTTCGCATGTACTGGGATTCCATATGGGTACTGCTTCATATCCCAGCTGCCCACTTTCTTTTCAGCTCCCTGTATATGGCCTGGGAGCAGTAGAGGATGGTCCAAAGCCTTAGGATCTTGCACCCACATGAGTGGCTTCAAAGAAGCTCCTGGCTTCAGAATGGCTTAGCTCCGGCTATTGCAGCCACTTGGGGAGTGAACAGATGGAAGATCTGTTTCTCCTTTTCTCTGTAAATCTAACTTTCTAATATAAATAAATGTTTTTTTTTTCTTTAAAAGTTGGATGTGGCCTGATTGTCTTAATAGGTAGTTTCAGATGCATCCTTATGATCAAAATTTATGCAGCTGGGTGGACTTTTATTCATAGAAGTGGACAGATGTCTAAGCCAGTGAGCAGAAGCAAGGTTTGGGGTGGGTACTGTGGTGCAGCAGGTCAAGGCACCCCTTGGGACACCCACAGTCCACACAGGGGT